CCCTCCTGGGTTTCGGCACCAGAAAGATGGAAAAACGGGCTGAAACTCGGGTAACCAGTAGTAGGCTTTATTGGAGATGTCAGCTGGGCTACATGGTATATACACTCTTTAGGGTGAGGGCTAATGGTCAGAGGAGGAAGATCATCATGTAATTTTTTAATTGGTGAGTTTAACTATGGCGGGTGATGGTATAATTTTGGGTGTGCAGCAAAGGGAGGAGAAGGGATTGGTTTTGTTTCTTTACAAAGGGCTATTTTACAGGAAAACAAAACTGTGGTTGGGGCTGCAGTGGATATGGAAGTAAATATCAAAAGAATAGTTAAGAGATGCAAGTGACTGCTTTTGGAGAGAAGGAATCAGGAGTAAGAAAAGTGAGATCAGGGGTCTTTGGTATATTAATATAAACAGTGGCTTCAATTTAATCATTAACATGCAATTAAAAATATAATAAAATGCTAGCTCGACATGGTGGCTCAAGCCTGTAATCCCAGTTACTACAGAAACTGATGTTTATAAGTTTGAAGCCAGCCTGGGCAACTTAAGACTCCCATCTCAAAAAAAGAAAAAAAAAAGTAATACCACGTAAGGAGATGAAAGACTATACTACAACCATCCAGACAGAAAAGCAGGATGAAAAAAGGAAAATAAAAAATAGGACACAGGTGCATAAATACTGAATAGTTTCTCTGGTATGAAAAATTAAAAGTGTAAATAAGGATTGAAATGCATAATTGATAAAGTGAAATAGGAAGAAGGGTCTAAAGGAATAGGGGAAGTGGGAGGGATAGGGGAAGGGAAAGGGAAAAGAAAAACATAAGAAAAGGAAAAATGAAAACAAAGTCTTTGTAAATAGGGAAGGGTAGAAGGGGTGAAGGGAGGGCAGGGGAATGGGGCAAAAATAAGAACCAAGATACACTGTGTACAAGATCCCAATAATGAATGTAACTGTATTGTATACCTAAAATGTACCAATAAACTTAATGGAAGAAGTGAAAAAAAAAAAGACATAATGGTCTGAGGATTCTTCTCTGGAAGGTTGTAATTTCCAAAGAGAACTGGAATGGCCATAATTTAATTCCCATATATGCTGTTCTACAGAATGAGTTTCTTAACAAGACATGAAATCTCTGCTCCCTGTTGAAATCTGTGCAGGCCAAACTACTGACTGCTCTAGCGAGCAGAGTACAATATAAGTAATGCTTTGCTTCTCAATATAGCCCTTAAGAAGCCTGGCAACCAGCTGCTATGTTAAAAAGTCCAGTATCTTCAGCTGAAGAGAGACCAGGTAGAGAATAAATGAGATGCTGGACAACTTAGTGAAAAAGGCTTCTTAGACACACAGCTAATCAGATACTTGTACAAAAATAGGCAACAAGAACATATCTAAAACAAGGAGGAAGCCAGGCATGGGGGCTGTAATCCCAGCACTTGGGAGGCAGGACTATCACAGTGAATTCTAGACCACCCTGGGCTACAAAGTGATTTCAAGATCAGCTTGAATTTCTACTGAGATCCTGTCTCAACAACAACAACAACAAAAAGAAGGAATGCTATATGATAATTTAGCAACATCCATAAGGTCTGGAAGGAAAAAATATGACCTCAAATTTCTGTATTCAACCAAGATGTAATTTATTCATGTAAAACAAAACATTCTTAGCAAGACCTTAGAGGGTTAACAAAAACAAATTCTACAGGGCAGAGCTGAAGCTATAGCTCCATTGTTAAACAAAAAGAATATAAAATAATGATTCAACTAAAAAAAGAGCCAGGCATGGTGGCACAGACCTGTCTTCCTAGCCACATACTCAAGAGACTGAGAAAGAAGAAACAACTGAGCCCATTAAGTTTAAGATCAGTCTGAGCAACATAACTAGATCCCCTTTCAGAAAAAAAAGGGTGGGGGCCAGGCATGGTGTCACACATCTGTAATCTCAGCACTTTGGAGGTAGAGGTATGAAGATCTCTGTGAGACTGAGGCCAGCCTGGGCTACATAAGACATTAGCTATCTGTGATAGGCAGCTTCTAAAATGGCACCCAGTGACCTCCAGCTACTAACTATTAAGTTTTGAGATAATGTGTTATGTAGCATGGATTAATACACTACCCAAAAAAAAAAAAAGACAAACATGTACAGTTAGCATTGAGATAGATTAGACCTTACAAAGCTAATATCACTAATATATGTGATGATCTATAACAAATGAACTATTCCCTAAGTCAGTTCAAATTATCAAAAGTGACACAAGAATATAAACTATGGGAAAATTTTTACTGCTTTGAAAAGTGCTAATCTGAAAAAAATTGGAGAAAGAAGGCAAGCTTTTCTGATGAGTTTTTCAAATGTTCAAGAAATAATTTCTTATTCACCTGCACCAGAATACAAATACAGAACTTTGCAAACTGTTTTGAAGACAGTATAGCAAGATCCAAAACCTAAAAGAGCCAATACAAACTAAAACTAGGATAATTTCTAAACTGGATACTGATGTAAAATCCTAAATATAAAATCAGCAAAAATAAATCAAGAAGTACATTAGAAGAAAACTGTACCATGACTGGCTAGGTAGGTAGCTCAGTGGTAGAGAGCATGCTTAAAGAGTAAGGCACTGGGTTCAACCCCCAGTACCAAAAAAATATTAATTTATCCATTTAAGTCAATGTAGCAACAAAATGTAGAATATTAAAAACAAAAAGCACAGGTAATAGAAACATGAGTGAGTAATCTACAGTGGAAGAAAGTAGAACAGTGGTTCCAGGGCTTGTGGGAGATGATATAGTTAATGTTTAAGAAGTAGCTTCAGTCTGAAAAGATGAAAAAGTTCTGACAACAGATGGTCATATTGATATATAATACCACTAAACTCTATAGTTTTTAAAAATGGTTTAAATGGTAAGTTGTGTTATTTATATTTTAACACAATAAAAAACTTACAGTGTTTCATAATTGTCTTGCCTATTATCTAACATTTCCTCTGCCTAAGAATAGATTATCTTATGCTTTTTAAAAACCAAAACGTAAATTCAAAGTAATCCACATAAAATGTATTTCCCCACATCAAGTACTAAAAGCGCCCCAAAATTGGACTTAGTTCAAGATTTCCAGCTTCCTTTTTAAAAGCCACCAAAACAAATGAACTTGTTTTTAAATCTCAGAAAGAAATCTGAGACTAGATTATCTACTTATAAATTATTTCACAAATCTCTGTGTTTAGTGTGAAAAAATAAAACATACCAAAGCGGGCTGACAGCCTTCACAATGCCTAACTAGCTTATTACATAACAGATATTACATCTACAGGTGAAGAGAATTAAGCAATACCAAAAATACCATTACCCAAACTATTTTTAAAGTTTTAATTCACTAATATCTTACTGTTTTTCACCTCTAAACATGACTGGCTATAAAACATTCATTACATATTACAACCTCGGAAAAGAAATTCTATTTACCCCATTACAGATTTGAATAATTTATAAGAACTTCTGGTGAGTCAGCTAAACTGAGGGGTTGCCATCCTTCCTTGTGAGCCTAACTGATTAAAAAAATACACTTTGCATATGCTACGACTGCACCATCTACCTACATACATTAGACAAGATTTTTAAATGCCTTTGTCATATACAAAAATGATGAACGCAGTAATAACTCTTACAGATTAAAAAAAAATCCAATCAGATCTGATTTTAACTCTTTACCCATCTGTTGGGTTTTTTTTTCACTCTGATATCAACTTGTTTACCCAAACTAACAAACTAATAACAAAATTTAAATGATATTAAAAGTTACGGTTTGAGTTGCTTTTTTATACTTTTTAAAGTGAAAACAAATTTGGTGGAAACATTCAGCTATAGTTGCTTTAAGGCAATATCAATATTATTAACAGTACTTAAAATCAAAATTTCACTTTGCCAGGGCCAGGGATTTCGTTCAGTGGTGCTGTATCTGCCTTACAAGAGCAAGAGCCTGAGTTCAATTCCCGGTACCAGGAAGGGAAAGAAAAAAATCACTTTGCCACACTAAACTCTGATAGCTTCTCTTATGGAATAACTACTGGTTCACTAAAAATAAAAATAAAAAAATAATGAAATCAATATGTAAATTAATAATGGAAATGTTTCAAGTAACTTTGGTATTTGTAATCTTCATGTTTGTACTGTACGTATAAAATAACACCATGTGTGTATGTGTGTTGAGATGTACAAATTCCTGTACAATTTCTGGAAGGATATGTAAGTGTCAATACGGACTACCTTTGAGGTATATGTCAGATTGGTATATGTCAGGGAGTTGCTTACTTTCTGCTTTCTGCTCTTTCCATAAAATGGTTAGAATTTTATATATAACCAATGTAGTCTATCTTTTCTCCGATTTTAAATTTTCACTTTATAGTTTAAATCACACATACTGTAAAAATCTACAAAAAAATTCTTCCGTAGTCAGTTAATCTCTTAGAATTTACCTATTTTGTTGGTTTCCTGATAAGGATATACTTCATCTTCAACTCTGCCAGATTCTCTCATTCGAAAATTAAAATTTTATCCTTAATGCTTCAGATTTGTTCAAACAATATGCCACAGGAATGGTTGTTAGTTCACTGACTGTGGTATTCACCTTCCCTACACCTCACTGTGTTTTAAGAAAAGTAGTGGCAAATACTAATAATTACTGGAGCTACAAATAGAAGTATCAAGTTGTATCATGAAAATCCCAATGATTTTGTGACACAGAAGTTGTCTTTTTTACAGCATGAAGTCTCTTAAGAACTTACAACAATACGGTGATGACGAACCAAAAAAGTTCATGGTCGTTGTAGGTCTCTTAAATTTAACAAGAGGACAAGAAGCATCCACGGGAGTTAAAGATGACTAGTTGAAAAGCCTTTCGACTGAGCTCATTCTCATCAGCACATCTGTCCAACGCTCAGTTCCGCTGCTGAAGCGCCGCAGGACTCTCAAAACCGAAGCTTCCCCCCTGTACAGTGGGCACACCACCTACCTCTGCGGAGTCCTGTAAGACGCTCTTCGTTCCCCTCGGGAGGTTTCCTCGCTCTCCCCGCGCCCCCGCTGCCCTCACAGGAGGGCTCCGGGCTGAAGAAGGGGAAGGGACGCGAGCGAACACCCTTTCGGAGTCCACAGGCTCCGCCATCGAGCCCCAGAGACTCCCGAAAGAACCCAGAACAGCTGCCTGTGCTACGGCAAGAAAGGGGGCATAAAGGAAAGTTTCAGAGCCGCCTTCTCAGGTACTCAGGGTTCCCAGACTCACCGCAAAGAAGTGGGCGATAAGGTAAAGCCACTGCGCCGAAACGGAGCGGGATGCAGCAGGAAACGAGGCGTCCCTGGGTTCCTCACCAGCGATGGACCTCAGGTCCCAGAAGGGGCGGAGCCGCGCGGAGCGCTCAGCGCGGGCCGGCGCGGTCTCCGGGCA